GCAGCTGTACGTGGGCGCCCACGCGCGGGGGCAGCCCGAGCTCGCGCTGCTGGCCGTCAACACGCTGCGCACCGACTGCGCGCACCCCAGCCCCCTGCTGCGCGGGCTGGCGCTGCGCGGACTCTGCGCGCTCAGGTGCGCTCATCCTCCCCACCGCCGCGTGTGCGTGTTCACGCTTGCCCGCAGGCGTGTGCGAGTGCTTGTCCATGTGCATGTTCATGCGCGTCCTTGAGTGTGCGTGGGTATGTATGTCCTCATGCGTGCCCCCAGGTGTGCGCATACGTGTTCATGCGTGTCCTTGAGTGTGCGTGGGTATGTGCCTCAGGTGTGTGCATTTCATACTTGTCCTTGAGCGCGCATGGGCTCCTGCCTGTCCCGGGCGTGCACATGTTCACGCATGTTCCCGAGCACGTGTGTGTGTGTCCGCGTGTGCCCCCAGGTAACGCAGCACCTGTGTGCAGGGGTGGGCGCTCTCTGGGCACGTGGCTGCTCCAGACGGAGGGCTGGGCGATGCAAGGCTGGCTCCAGGCCAGAGCCCCCTGTGACGGGTGCCGTGAGCTGCAGGGGTGTCCTCTGCTTGGCTCCCTGAGAGCAGCCCGGGCCCTGCCGTGCAAGCAGGCTCGTGTGCCCCGGAGCAGCTTGTGGGATCCAGGGTGAGCCCCACCGTGCCTTGTGCGTTGGTCCCCAGGGTGCCCGGCATACAGGAGTACATCCGGCAGCCCCTTCTGAACGGCCTGCGGGACAAAGCGTCCTACGTGCGCAGAGTAGCGGTTCTCGGCTGTGCGAAGATGCAGAGCCTCCAAGGGGACTCCGAAGTGGGTAAGCCTGGAGGGTTTCCCTGTTGGCTTGTTTCAACTCCCCGTTTGTTACGTGTTTATTCCTGGCTGCGTTGTCTTTTTCCGACAAAGACCCCAACAGCTTACATTGCATAACAAAATAACCTAAAACTGGGAGAGTCGCAAGAGAGCAAAACAACTTGAAAGGGAGCTAGACTGTGGAGCTAAGACACTTCCTAGACAACACCACGGTCCAGCTTTGTTTGGTAAACACGCGCGCAAGTAGCAAGCTTTTACCGCACTCGTGAAGCTGTCAGCCTCGCTCGAGTGCTCGTGGTGATGCACGATCATCGCGTGTGCTGGGCAGGGAGAGCGGCACTTAGTCCTTAAGGAACGTGCAGCCTGTTCCCATACTTCACACAAGGAGTCAGGGCCTCCCATCTGGCCTGTGTTTTGACCTTAGATCCCCGGCAGGACAGACGAGCTATCTGTGAACCAAAGGCAGATTCTTTAAAAGGCTTTTCTTCTCGGGCCTTTCCTGCAGCTCAGGCTGGCAGAGCGAGTTTCCTGAAGGAATGGTCCTTTCATGCTTTTTGTCTTTACTAGCCTGGAGCTCTTCTCCTCTGCCGTTCTTTGTGTTACGTCTGAGCTGCTGTGTGATCCGCGTGATGGTGGGCTCGGTAGGGCGAGGCTGTGTCATACATAGATGCTACTAGAAAGCCAGATGGGGTTGCAGATGTTGTTATTCTCCATTCCCCAGCCCTTTGTTATGGCCCTTCTGTTTGTGGACCGTGGCTAAATCGCCCAAATGGACCCAGCGGTCAGGTCTGTGCTGTCCTCACCGTGGCTTCCTTGCAGATGGTACGCTGGTGAACGAGCTGTACAGTTTGCTTCGTGACCCAGATCCCATTGTAGTGGTGAACTGCCTGCGGGCTCTGGAGGAGATTCTGAGGCAGGAGGGAGGAGTCGTCATCAACAAGCCCATCGCCCATCACCTCCTCAACAGGTTTGTTCTCCCTCACACTTGTGCAAAGCTGGGAGTCTCACCGTAGTGGGATCGTCTTGCGTTTGCTACATCAGAGAACAGGTGCACCCTGTTCCTGTCAGCTCGGGGAGGTTCAGTGTGGGAGATAGCTGGGAGCAGAAGCACATAGGTGCCCATTCTAGAAGGGACCAGGGTAAGCTGAAGCTAAGGTCACACGTGAAATATGAGACCATGCCCTGCCATGCTAGTGACACAGGGAACCTTTGGCTGGCAAAGTCCAGGACAAATTTGTGACCAACTGTTGGTCGTTAGAAATCGTACTAGAGAGCAGCATTTTTTTTATAGGAAGCTTCTGTCTTCCTTGACAGCACACAGGCTGCATCTCTGAGACCTGCATCCTAACTTGTCTGTCTCATTTACATCCCCGTGCGTGTAAAGTGGTGGAAGTCATATCCGCTGCCTGGAGGAATTAGCTTCTCCTCGCACAGGCCCTCAGGCCTGAAGTCCTAGTTGCAAAACTAGCAGTGGAAAGAGAGAGTGGCATTTCTTCCCTGTTGTGCTGCCCTCGGACCCCATCAAGGTTTCTTTCTGGCACAAACAGGGAGGGAGGGAGTTCATCTGCGACCTGTGTAAGTTAGTTAGCTCCTTTTGAGAGACTAACTTAGCATCTTCTTCTGCAATTCTGGCACCTGACCTTGAACTGAAACCATCACAGAAGCAGCAGTTGCAGCCCCTGAGCTGTCCTGGGGTGACCCTCATTTCATTGTATGACTTCACATGATTTTGTGCTGCCCTCATCTGCCACAGACTGTTTACTGTGCTCTTTCCTTGGCAGAATGGCTGACCTAGACCAGTGGGGGCAGAGCGAGGTGCTGGCCTTTCTTCTGCGCTACAGGCCCCGGAGCGATGAGGAGCTCTTCAACATCCTCAACTTGCTGGATGGGTATCTCAAGAGCAGCAGTCCCAGTGTTGTGATGGCAGCCACCAAGCTCTTCCTGGTGCTGGCCAGCGAGTACCCACACGTGCAGACGGACGTGTTGGTGAGGGTGAAGGGGCCGCTATTGGCTGCCTGCACCTCCGAGAGCCGGGAGCTCTGCTTCACCGCCCTGTGCCATGTGCGGCAGATTCTCGGAAGCCTCCCTGGCCACTTCAGCAGCCATTACAAGAAGTTCTTCTGTTCCTACTCGGAGCCCCACTATATCAAATGCCAGAAGATGGAGGTGTTGTGTGAACTGGTGAACGATGAGAACGTGCAGCAGGTGCTGGAGGAGCTGAAGGGCTACTGCACTGATGTGTCTGTTGAACTTGCCCAAGGGGCCATCTTTGCCATAGGTAAGAGTCCTCTCTTGTCTCTGGAGCAGCTGAGACCTCGCTCGAGTCTCTCAGAAAGATGGGTCGCCTTCTGAGGTGAGCTGAGGTGAGCCTGGGCCAGCGGCAAATGAGTGCTCTGTGCTGGAGCTGTGTCCAAGCACCGAACCCAGAATGAGCCAGATCTCCCGGAAACATGGGCGTGGTCCTCAGCACAGGCTGTGTGGAGCCTTTCTGAACCGGGGGCGCCCCTGGAATGCCTGCGTGCCTTTCCCCACCCTGGGAAGCTGGGTGGGGCTTGAGGACCTCTGAAGGTGCATGGTCGATGGATTGTATTAGCAACCCCAAAGTACTTCATTTCCCAGTCAGTTGGCGTGGTGGCCTTGTGGGCTTCTCTTTCACTGGTTGTCTTCTGGGTGGCACTGTGGGGAGAGAGGTAAGGGGGGTTTGCAGGGACCCTGTTTTTGCATTTGAAGGTGTTAAGGTAAAATGCCTTGATTGCAACAAAGGATAAGCTTCTCTTTTCCATCCTGTCTTTTCTCTCAGCTGTTCTGGACAGAAGTGCAGGGTTTTCCCAAGAGCTTTTTTTTTTTAGCCCAAGTGAGGACTAGAGCCTGCTGACTAATGTCAGGCACAAGTATATTCAGATCCAAGTGTTTTGCTTGAGAGGAAGCTTGTAGCCTGAATACCAGGGTCTATGTCTCTGACCAGAACTTGGCTTGTTCCCTGTGGCGCTCTTCCAGGCAGCATTGCCAGGACGTACACAGAACAGTGCGTGGGGATTCTGACGGAGCTGCTGGGCCTCAAGCAGGAGCACATCACTTCAGGTAACTCCTGGCTGCTGGTTGCGTCAAGGGGATTGCCAGTCCCCCACCTTCAGGAAATGGCTCCAACTCTATGCTGGGGTTTGGGAAAGCCCTGTCCTGCGGGCCACAGCTTGCTGAGGTTTCAAACAGAATAGGTGTCCCTAGAGATTTCCTTGTTCAAAGGGTGGAGGCAGGGATGGCTTCATAACTTCTCCCTTCTTAGATAGGTTCCTTGAGAGTCACGGGGACAGGTCATGGCTGCTCCCATGGTGCGATGTGGACTAAGCCTTTGGGCCATCCCCTGCTGACTCAGACAGAGAGCAGATGCAAAGAGGCATTTTAGAAAGGTCAGAAGTTTTTGTCAACATGACCTTGACATGCTCTCGTTGGCCCTTCTGGTCTCAGCTTTTAGAGAGAGCATAAGTCCTCTGAGCCCGACCTTACTTCGTCAGATGCCTCAGCAAATGCCAGCACTGCAGCCGTCTGTGTTCTGGGTCTTGACATGGCAGAGCCTGTGCCACCAGGCTTTAAAGAAAAGTGCACCACGTCCCCAGAGGGAGTGGTGTGGTGGCTTCCTCCACCCCAGCCTCCCAGGGGGTTGGTTTCTTGCTGATGTTTGATCTGGGAGATGCTGAGTGTTCTGTTCCGTTGCAGCTGTGGTGCAGGCTTTCCGGGACCTGGTGTGGCTGTGTCCTCAGTGCACAGAAGCTGTATGCCAAGCTCTGCCCAGTTGTGAGGAGATCGTTCAGGACAGCGAGGTAGGCTGGCTCTCACACAGTCCGGATCAGCCCATGGGCTGGATAGAAATTGGGGGCCTAGCTGATCCCTCAGTACTTTTGCCACTGGTTGGTTTGAGGACGGTTAGAATGTATCGTGCACTGGCCGTTACACAACGATAGACAGAGCCTGTGTGTGCCTGGCTGGGCTGGGTGCAGAATTGTTTGAGGGAGTGAACAGTGTGGGGAGGTGCTGTTTGGCGTGGGACCAGGCAGTGCAACTGAGGGATGGGGTGGGCTTCAGCGGACTCAGGAAGGATCCTGCCAGAGAGAGAGGAGGCTGTGGGCAGCTGCTGCCAGGCCATTCATAGGGCGTTAAGTTGCCAGCTCCGCAAGGTGGTTCCCATCCCCCTGATACCTGTGTGGAGTGGCTCGACCCTGAGTGCTCTATGGCAGCGCTTTGCTTTGCTTTGCTTTGCTTTGCAGGGCAAGCAGGCTCTGGTCTGGTTGCTGGGGGTGCACGGGGAGAAGGTTCCCAATGCTCCCTACGTGCTGGAAGACTTTGTGGAGAATGTGAAATCAGAGACGTTTCCAGCGGTGAAGATGGAGCTGCTGACGTCACTGGTGCGGCTCTTCCTGTCCCGACCTGCTGAGTGCCAGGACATGCTGGGGAGGCTGCTGTACTACTGCATAGGTGGGCACGTCTTGCGACAGCTCTCCCATATGCTGCCTGCATCATGCTGTGCTGGGACAGCTACTGCTGCTGAGCTGCCTGCCTGGAGAGGTCCTGGGGGAACCTCCATGGGCATAGCGGCAGCAGTAAGAATTGGGTGGCAGTAACCCCCCACCCCCCCGCCCAAAGTGCTGGACCAGGATTAAAACGAGGGCTGGCTGTCTCCTGGTAGAGGATCAAGTGCAGAAGTAGTCCTTCTGCCTCTTCTCCTCTTATTCATCACCTTTGTATGCCTGTTGCTGTCAGGCCCCATGACTGGGTGACCCTGTTTGTAGATGGTGACTGAGGGGTTCATCAAAGGGCAGCAACATGTTTCCTCTGATAGTGATGCAGTTGGCTCATCTGTCGAGGCCCAGAACATTTTCTGTGAGCCTTGGTGCCCCCTGTGATCGTGTCTTTCTTGCCCCTAGAGGAGGAGACAGACATGGCCGTGCGGGACCGTGGCCTGTTCTATTATCGTCTCTTACAAGCTGGGGTGGAAGAGGTGAAACGGGTGTTGTGCAGCCCCAAGTCTGATCCCTCCCTGGGGCTGCTGGAGGATCAGGCTGAGCGGCCTGTGAACACATGGGCCTCGGACTTCAACACGCTGGCACCCATCTATGGCAAGGCACGCTGGGCAGTCATCACAGCTGATTGGGCAGCAGAGCCTCGCTGTGCCAGGTCTCCCTCTGCCATCCCCTCGGCCTCTAGAGCAGTGACGGCGAGTTCGTCAGGTAAGCTGCCTTCCTCAGCTGCAGATCTGCTGTGCTTTACCCCCGGGGAGATCCCAGGGCTCCGGGCTGTAGCTGGGCACCAGGCTGTGGGGACACTGGAGGTGGTGCGACTCTGGGGTTCTGTGTCTGGTGGGCCCCTTGGACACTCCTGGTCATGCTGGAAGCAGTGCTGCCTGCACCATTCCTCACCCATTCCTGTTTCATTTCAGAGCCACTGATTTCAGAGGGGAATAAAGAAGTGTTCGAGGTCCATCCCGACTCCAGCAGCCTCACCTTAATCCCCTACGCACATCTGTCTGCGGAGCAGTTTGAGAAGACCTGGATGAGTCTGGATGTGAGCTGCAAGCAGGCCCTGCCCTGGCATGGAGCTGCTCACCCTGACACCCTACATACCGCGCTGCAGGTTGTCCACATCCAGACAATTGCTATGAGCAAGGCTGGTGCCCAGCCGTGGAAAGCCTATCTCAGCGCCCAGGATGATGCTGGCTGTCTTTTCCTTGCGGAGCTGTTGCTTGAGACGGAGAATTCGGAGATGCAAGTTCTGGTGAAGCAGAGTGAGGCGAGGGCAGAGGCACTACAGAGCTTCCTGGTGGTGCTGAGAACTGTGATGGGGACAGTGCTAGGGCTGAGGTCCTGACTGCAGTCAGCTCCCCCAGCAGGCCTGCTTGGGGCCCACAGATGCTTCTGCTAAACTGCCTGCCAGAGCCCTGGACCGCCCTGGTGCAGCTGCAAGTGGAAGCGGAATGTGCCCGGGGGCCGGCACACGATGGCAGCACAGCTGGTCTTTTCAGGGGCTGCTTTGTCATAATGGATGAATAGGTCACATGAAACCTCCAGCAGGGTTGCCAGCTGCCCTGAACCTGGGACCCATGGGTCATCAGCCTGGGACTTTGTGTGGAGTGCACAGGGGAGAGAGATCGAGATGGGAGGTTCAGAGGCAGGAAGAGGAAGGGGTGAGCGACTGGCTGAAAACACTTCTGAGGGTTTGACGGAGCTCCTGTCTCATTAAGGGATGCAGAGCTCAGCAAGGGCAGGCTGGCTTCTTGCTGGGAGCCTCGCCTGGCTCTTGCGTTCCACCTGAAGAGGTGGTCTGACAGGACCTGGTCCCGCGAGGGGTTGGGAGCGCCGCTTTGCAGGTTTGCGGAGGGCAGAGGAGCACTCGTCTTTTTAGAACTGCCAGCCTCGCTTCCAGTTTCTACCATGGTTCCCACTGAAACGTGTTCCTGCAGAGCAGAAGTTGGCCTCTCCACAGATTCTCGCCTCACCTCTTAGATACTCTGGCACTGGGCGTGAGGGCAGAACTCGAGAATTACGTATGGGCATGGATAGACGAACAGCTGAAGCCCTTGAAAATTAGTGCTGGCAGCTGTTTAGTGCCACGATTGTTCAGACTCTCCAGTCTATTCTGCTCTAAGTGGAAGCTAAATTGTAGCAGCACTAAACCTGGTTCGCTCTGGTTTAAAGTTACAGTGGTATAGCTGCTATGCCAGCGCAGCAGAGAGACATTGATTCAGCTGATACCCGCTTCTGAGGGGTAACCTCCCTCTCTCTCTCCCTATTGAGGTGGTTTAGAATGACGCTTGTCCACAACCAGCGTGAGGCTAGATGTGAATGAATGCGTGTTGGGCTGCATCTCTGCCCGACCAGATCAGTGGGCTCGGTGACTCTGCAGTGCTAATACCAACTTTGCTGTTGACGTGGGTAACTTTTTGCTAAAGCGATATGGACTCTGTTTCAGCTGAACGTTACCATCGCCTGCTTTGGTACGAGGCCTGTTTAGTGCGCAGCTGCGCTGGCTTGTACTCATCCTGTTTTCCCATGATGTCCTGTAAACAGTCTCTTCAACAGGGATTTGTCCTCTGCCCAGTTAATGCTTCTGTCGTCGGCCATTGTGTTGTTCCCCTGCTGCTTTCTTGTTGCACTTCAGTTGCTCATTCTATTCTGTGGAGGGCAGGGTGTCGGTTCTGTGCATTTCTCACGGTCATGCATCGCCTCTTGCATCAGGCTTGGGCGTATTCTTGCTTTTTGGTCTGTTTATTTTATTCTTTTTCTTCCCTGGATTCTTACTGGCTTTCCTGTTGCTCAGTTACTTCTCAGGTTCCTTGCAGGTGGGGTTTGATCTGTCTCTATCCTTGAGTGATTATGCCTTTGTTATCGTTTAAGAAGATTAGAATAAATTATTCATAGCTATCTCAGGGTCTGGCTTTCTCTTTCACTGCCTCCCTCATTTGTTTTTTGACTCCCTGCTTGTTTAATGATCTCGAGGACTGAGATCGCATCATTAACATGCTATCCTAATTGACAAATGCGATGGTATTCATTGGTGGAAAGTACCAAAGTCAGTGATTCAGTACAGAGCGTGTTGTTGCAGGGCTGCTTAGAGCAGGTGTTCTGAACAGGGTGGAGAGTGAGCCCCAGGGATCCTAGAGAGACCCAACCCGGGCTGGGTCCTGCACTGCCAGGAAAGCAGCTGCTTCCCCGTAGAAAATAAAAATCCTTTCTGCTGGTGAAGTGGCTGCGCTTCCCACCTCAGTGACAGCCTGCCTGGGTCTTGGGAACAGCAGAGAATACAGCTTGTTCTGAAGTCGTCTGTGACCGACTGCAGTCACCAGGCACCAAACAGGTCAAAACACCAGAGCGAATCTTGGGCACGGTTGCCTGCAGTGGGACACGTGTAGGCTGAAGCTGTGCAAGAAGCTGACTGTTCATGCCTTTCTAAAGACACCCTCTGAAGTAGGCTCTGTTTGTGTGAGCCTTGCTCTGGACTTGCCATTTCAGTTCTGTTGTGTAATGTAGCAGGTGAGCTGGCCCCATGGCTAGGATCCGTATTAACTGTCAGGTCTTAACTGTTACATCTGGTTCTCCCTCTGACCAAGCAAATCAGTCAGAGCTGCTCAGAATACAGGGCTCATGTGCAGCATAAACAGGGACCCCTCAGAGAGCTGCAAAACCCCAAGCACTAATTGCAGGTCAGATCCTTCCGTCTTTCAGCTCAAGGCTCTTGCATGGGCCCAGTCCACGCAGTCCAGTTCCCAGGAAGGCAGTTGAAATGACTGGATGGCAGCAGGCTGTCACAAGCCACAGCAGGTGAGCCCAGGCTGGAATTGCAAGCATGCTAGCTGTGGTTGGGTGTAGCCATCCATTGCAGAAAGGTTCCCTTATCACTGGCCTGCATGGCGCTCTGAGCACGCGCCGAGCTCCTGGCTCTTGCAGGGAGGTTTTGAGCATGTTTGCTTTACACAATTATTTGCAAGAAAAAGAGCGCGGGTGTCCTGGCAGTGGTTCAGGGTGACCTGAGTCACGGCCCAGTTTGAGTCCGTGACTCACCCAGCAGGGCTTTGCTTCTAGCAGAAATGGACTTTGGCTTCTGGAAAGGCGTTGTGCAGGAGGCTCAAGGCACACAATTAGCACACAGCGAGCCTGCCACGCCCAGGGGAATGCAGTACTTTTGCCATCACCTTTCCCTGCTCTGGGAGGATTCAGTTTCTCCCACACTTGCTCTAGTGGGGCCAGTAGGGGCAGGGAGCTGGCCAAGAAAGAAGGAAGCTCCTCGAGTTCTGCATACGTTCATTGACAGGAAGAGGAGTTGCTGCTGGAGTGGCCTGGCTTCTTTGTGAGCTTCAGCTTGTCCAGGAGAGAGGTGTGCTGAAATGAAGAGAGCCAGCACCTTCGAGGAGCAAACGGAGTGTGTTGTAGAGGCACTGCTCTCTGACCTCCTGGGGGGAGAGGTTGGATGGCGCAGCCTGGAGACGGATTCTACACCTCAGGCACAGTCAGGTAAGTTTGCCTGGGCCCTAGCTTTAGGTGGGAGAGAGGGAGGGACCTGTTTTGGTCGATGAGGGGTGGGAGCCCCGGGGCGCTTCACAGGGCAGCGATACAGCTTGGCCTGCCAGGTCTTGAGTGGTGGCATCGTCTGTGCCCTGGCTTGTTTGACCTACTGTAGCCCTGGCGAAGCAGATCAGGCCCAGGGTGCTGCTGGAGCTGGTGTGAGCAGGGGTAGCTGTGAGCAGCCGCAGGGGTGCATCTCAAAGGCGACTCGGGCATTGGGCCCCAAGGGGAAGCTTCCCACCTCCTGCTGCCCATTTCCCCCCATGAATTAAGACGCGCGGGTCTAGTTCCAGTGACTCAAGTCGCATGGAAACGGCCCCTTGAACAGCCACAGCTCAGATGGGCTTTTCCTGAGTCCCTGGTGTTGTGTGGGGTTTAAACCCAAACATGAGGGAGCTTTGCACTGCAAAGCACTGAACTACTCTGTTTCTAATGGGAGACTAGAGGGGCCGATGGGGCTTGTGCGTGCGTGAGATGGCTGTTGGCTTCACACCCAGGCAGTGCCGTCAGATAAGGCTGTCCTCTGCTTCCTGGTACAGACTGGTCTGCAGGTACCAACAGCTTTGGTGTTTGGGGTCAGTTTCCAGTGCTTGATGCTTGCTGGGGCTGAAGCTTTAGCAATTTCCACGAAAAATGATTCGGCACTTTCTTAAGAGGTTTCACTTAGGGTAAAGGAAGTGCTGGAACTTTTGGCCAAGATGATTCAGTGACGACAGGCTTTGGGGTTTGTTGGGGAAGTACTCCTCGGCCCCTCTGAAAAATTGCCCAATCAGGCCCATTTGAAATCTTGGAAAATCACAGTTTGCTCAGCAGAGACTAAGAGCTCAGCAGCTTGATTCTCTCTGCCCCAGGCACACAGCATCCGGGGAATGCCAGGGATTTGAGCAGGACTTTGCTCATGGCCTCTGTGGCCAACGAGATCCAGGGGGGAGCAGGCAGCAGGACTCTCCTGCGTTCTTGCGTTCCTGGCCAGTTGCTTGGCGGTGTGGCAGAAGAGGAAGCCTCCTGACTGAAATGGAGGGATGAGGAGCCAGTCCTCGGGGATGCTGGGCGGGGGGCTGGGGTGAGCGCCTGGAGAGGGCATTCGAACTTGGACTGGACATGAAGCTGTAGGAGGTAGAGAACCACCTTACCAAGACCAACCCAAAGGGCCTGAGAGACGGGGTCTGGTTGATGGATGGAAATGTGGAGAGTTTATGACTACTACAGGGTAATCCCACCCCCCACCCCGGACCTGGAAATGAGCCCAGGAGTCCGAGTCTCGCTTCTTCAGCTCTCAGTAAATAGCTGTGAGGCTCGCTGGCAACGTGCGTGTCCTGCCACCACCTTGTACCTGACCCGTGCTGCTGCTTCCAGCGATGCCGCTAACTGACACCAGCTGCCTGTGCAGCGGGTCTGTGGCAGAAGCCCTGCTGATGGTTGCCCTGGATGGACCTTGGTGGGGGGAGGGAGGTTTTTCCCCCTAAATCCAGATGATTAGCAACAGCATGTGGCCTGCGTGCTGCGTCATCCCTCTTGCTCTCTGCTTCCCCTCCTAGCGGTCTTTTACTGCCAGGCACAAGGAGCTTCCGACACGTTTGACCCGGTGGTGATTGCCAGCCGCCTGCGGATGCTGGGGGACCAGTACAACCAGGATGTGGAGGGACCAGCTCAGGAGGTCATCAGCAAGATGGCGAGCGGAAAGGTAACACAGAGCTCTAATGCGCTCCTGGCGGGACCTCCTGCCTCTCCTGGGGCCCCACTCTGAGGCTTCCTCACGAGGATGGAAGTCCTACTGGGAGGCAGTGGTCATGGGACACGTGGCTTGTGCTACTGGCCCCTAGTAGGAGCTGTGGGGGTCAGGGCCAGGCTGCTGGTACCTGCTCCCAGAGGGCGGCAGTCCAGCTGCGTGAACAGTCTCGCTGTGGCTGGAGGCGACTGACAGAGGCTCCAGGCTGAGAAGTGCTGTGAGGGCCCCGCTGGGTCCCCTGGCATCACCATGTGGCTGGTTCCTCCTTGCCTCCCTTGTGGCTCCCTTCCTAGGGGCTGTGTTCAACCCCCAGCAGGCCTCCACTCCCAACGGAGGGGGCGGCGCGGGAGAGGCTCTGCTGGGGTGACGTTGCTCATGCCAGTGTGAGGCTGCATGGTGCGCAAGCTCCAGTGACCTAGAAACTGGCCCTCCCAACCCCGTGCCCTGCTTGCCTGCTGTGTGCGCTACTGCAGCTCTGCACGAATGCCTCCCCCGCGTCCAGGCGAGCCCTGCCTGGAGACCTCGCACTGTTCACAGATCTGCTGAGCTGCGGGGCGCAGGGTGAAGTAAGCCAGACCCCAGGGGCCCTGTGTGCCTGAGGCCAGGCTGCGTTTAAATGGTGGATTTGGTTCCTGCAGGTGGAGGCATTTGGAGCTGCGGTGGAATCTCTCAGCAGGAGCTGGAGCAGCCAGAACCCTGGGCTGGGCTACGAGAGAGCCTTGCTGTCTGTGTCTGTGAAGCTGGGCATGTACATCGCCCAGAAAATCCCATCTGTGAGGGAGCAGCTGGTGGAGCTGATTAACAGGAACCAAGTGAGAGGCTACATCCAGCACCAGGGCGGATGGGTGAGTGCTGAGTGCCCGAGAGCTGAGGGCTCTGCTCCTTCACTGGGTTCCTCTGGCCACAGCCTGAGGGGAGTAGACTGCAATAGCACCATTCACTGGCGCTCCCAGAGAGGAGCCGAGCCCCGGCCCTTGGTGCCATGCAGTTCTGCAGCGCGCTGTTCTGGTTGTGCCTCTTGCATTGGGCGCTGTCCCGGGGAGGTGCAGTGCATCCCTTGTTGGCTGTGCTCCATCAGCAGCTCTGCTCTGCTAACCCCACCTATGCAATCCCACTGGCGTCCCTGCAGCGAGGCTGTGCGCAGCGTCTCGCTGCCCTGGGAACTGCTACTGCTTCTATCTTGGATAAGGCCCCAAGGAATAAACTAACTGTTAAGGGATCATTCCAGCTCCTGCGTGTGCACTGCACTACAGGCGCCTGTCCCCTGTGGGCCAGGCCAGTCTTACCTCGTTTTGCAGCTGGAGCGATACTGTGTTTTGACTCGGACCAGGGGTGGCTCAGCATGCAGGACATGGGGCAGGAGTGCTGCCTGCCTGCCTGCCTCCCTCCCCATCACCTTCTGCCTCACTCTTCATCCTTTCTTTTATTCTTGTAGGAGAACTTGTAAAACTGACAAGAAAAGCCACACTGCATCCGGGGACGTGCCACCCATGCCCAGACGCCACCACCCAGGGCTCCATTTTCAGAAAGAAACGACTCTTCCTTGCCATCAGGCCTACAGCCTCTGCCCGTCCCTCCCCACCCCTGAAGATGGAGTACCTGCGCTGTGATTAGATGTGTTATGACTGTCCCTCCCTGCCAGTTCCCATGTGCAGTCCCTTTATTCACAAGTATCTGCAGGGTGGGTGCAGAGCTCGGTGTTGGACCTTGCCAGGGACACCTGGCTTTGCTGAAACAAGCCCCTAAGGAGTGAATGCATCTTAAGTGACCCTGCAGCCTGTGGGCAGCTCTTTGGGGTGCTGTGGTTGCATCTGCCTGTGGCATGAGCAGTCAGCAGTGCCAGAGAGGCTGCATCCCATTTTGGGCTTTGTGGGGAGTGGCCTTGAACCGAGTCACCCCACCCCAGGCCATGCTGGAAGAGCTGCACAGACGGGGGTTGTCCCCCCCCGGCCCCAGCCCTCACTTCCCAAAGAAGTCTACCACGCCTCTCTGAGCGGGGTTCTTCCAGAACACCTCTGTTAGGTCCCTCGCCCCTGCCCTGATGCCCACCTGCGATCGTGGGGGTGGTGGCAGCCTGAATGTCTGTATTAAAAAACCTATCAGACAGATTTGTGAGCGTGAAGACGGTCCAAGTCCTCTGCGTGTTTGTCCTCCCACCCTGTGGATCATGCTGTCTCTGGCTTGTGAGTTGCTGGCACCCAAGCTGTGTCTCCCAGCCCAGCTCCTCACTTGGGGTCCCTGAGTAATAAATTATTAAATACTTGATTCTAGCCTGGATCTGGGTCTTGTATGTCCCTGGGAGTGGGCATCTCGCCTGAGTGTGGGCTGAGCTGAGAGGGGAGCCGTCTGCTTGTTGGGTTTGCTGGGCCAGTTGCTTGTATTCCTCTTGCAGCCTGTTACAGAGAAACTGCTAGTGTGCAAAGTGGGACGTCCGCAGCCTGCAAAACCAACACGCCCTTGATTGCTGAGAGGGTAGGAGCACAAACCCGCTCCAGTGCCAGCGTTTGCTTTTACCGGTACGTTGCATTTCTCTCGACTGAGACAACAGACTGGGTCCCGCTCCTGTTAGGGGTGTGTCTGCAGCAAGGGCTTGGTGCAGCAGCAGCCGGGTTTCAGGCTGTGCAAGAGACGTCCTCTGGAGACGTGGTGCTGAGATTTGTGGTTGTGTTTCTGTTGCTCGGTGTCTGCGGCATTTACACGTGGGCACGATTTGGAATGGATAGCAGGGTCTCTCGCAATGGGGTGCAAGGCGCCTGCTGCCACGCGGGCGGGTCAAGAAAGGACATCTGTTCTGTTCTGCACTGGCTGCGTGATAAACTACAGAAGGGGAAGTGCATCCAGGGACTCTGTAATTGTGCTTCTCTTCTGCGAGTCTGTTGCTAACCCTGGGACCCTGCCGGGGCTTTCCTTTGCTTACTCTGCTCGGGGCGAGCTGTCCGTTGTTGGCGCGCTATTTGAGTCACCAGGAGATTTTGGGAATTCTGCCCCTCTCAGATCCAGGTGCCCAGTTGAAAACTGTCTTGTCTCTGTTACAGCCCAGTTTGTCCACTGGAACGGTCTCACCAGAGAGAGCCTGGCACTGTGGATTTGTTTGCAGACCGGTGGTGTTTGAATGCTGTTTTCTCTGGTGTGGCGGTACTAGGTTCTCTGCCCTCGGCCTGGTTCAGAGCGCGCCAGCTACCTGCCCCTGCTGTGTGAGAGCAGCCACTGTTGGAAGCATGTTCAGAAAGCAGCACAGGTCACATGTAAAAGGGTTATAAATGTGAAGGGGAGCTGTCGACTTTGTGTGTTGTCTTAGGGACCCGCTTAGCGCAAGTGTTCCGGGCTTGTCAAGGCCTCCCCCTCCGAGCAGTACACAAGGAAGTGCAGTCCCTGCCACCCAGTGCATTGGCTGTGTCCAGATGTTCCACTGATAACAGCTGCCAGGTGCCTGCATTGGGGTAGACAATGTCACTGTGCTGGGATGACCGGGACTTGGCCTTTAGCCATGGATGGTGTTGGGAGCCTCTCTGAATGGCTGGTGACAGGGCAGGAGGGAACTTCAGTGCATCTGGAAATTAAGTCTTTAAAAACAAACTGCCAAGTTTGTAGCTGCAGTGCAGTTCATTCTAATGGCCTGGGACTGCGGGGAAACCTGCACTCAGGCCCAGAACAACCTGTGCAGGACCCAGCATCCAGCAGTGGGTCATGTTTTGCAGTTTACCAAATGCACAGGAGATGTGGCGGAGTCCTAGATCCATCACCATGTCTCAGTAAGTGCTGAAGCATGTCCTGTGGGAAGAGATTCCCATTCTCTTCCCGCATTGGACTTTGTTCTGGGCACGACGAGATTCCCAACGCAGTTTGACATGGCAGATTAATCAGTGTGTAATGGGTGGGATGGTTCTGGCTGGCAGCACGCAGCTCCAGATTCAGAAATAGGAGGATCTTGTGCAACTAAATCATGGGAACTGAAAAAAGTATCAAGGAATTGGGACAGATTTAAACCTTTGATTTTGGGGGGTTTTAAATGCTTTTAAAGTCTGTTGTAAGGTTTTGTGAGTGCGACATTACAGAAGCACAAGTGTATTGGGTTTCATTACAAGGAGCTGTAATTTGATGCCATTGGCTTGGCAGGATTCAGCTTCTGTAGGTACATGTTAGCATGTCCATCCCCCCCCTCCCCCCAAGTTGCATTGCTTGTTGACAAAAACAGAAGTTAAAAGCAATTAAAATGTTCCACTTAAAGCACTTCTGGGAACTGGTGTACGCTGGGTTAGCCCCTGGTCCCAGGTCAAAGGCATCAAGCACAGCAGTTTATCTGCAGTTGCCACAGAAGAGGTCTTCAGAGAGCTGCTGACTTCCGGCAGTGCAGACGCACTGAGCTGATGCTGTTCTGTCATCACTGACTATTGCTTCTATGAACTATACGTCTAAAAACCTTCAGTAAGTGAAACATTTAGGAATTAACAGCGACTTTTCTGAGCAAATGGAATAAAAGCCAAATCCTGCCATATCCAAGTCCTGCTAACTTGCCTCTGAGCACATCCTGGATGACCTGCATGTTTAACAACAAATATATTTGGTCTAGCATCTTACATTTAAGTTTCCTTAACTTGGCCCAATTTTGGAGCCTTGCTGCTCTCTATTACTTGTAGTATTGAGAAGAGTGACAATATTCTTTATGGTTTAAACACACACCACTTTTTTTATGTTGTTCTGAACGACAAGTAAAGATGTTACCAGGATAGCTAGGAGCACCCAGCGCAGAACAGCCCATGGAACAAGGATCCACCTTCTGAAAGGAAAGAGGAAAACAAAAAAATACTTTGAAAAGCCACAGTGGAAATACTGGCCCCTCAGGTAAAAGATGTTCTTAGCAAACGCTTGATACAGCAAGTGTATGTTATGCTGGTGGGAAGATGTTCAAAGAATGCCTAAGGGAGTGAGGAGCATGAGTGCCATTGATTGTGGGTTGGTTTCAAAAGCCATTGGTGCTGATGGGCTGCCCTGTTGCCCTCACTACTTCTAAAGAGAGACAGGAGTTGCTAGCATGGATTAGACCAGAACAGGCCGTATAGCCACGTACCCCAGCACCCCAGCCGAGGCAGGTGCAAGAAACCCAGCGAGACAAATATTACATCATCTGCCCAGCATGTAGGTCTCTTCCTGACCCTGGTGGCTTGGTAATTGCCTTGTGCCCTGAAGCAGGTGTTTTACATGCACTGCTGGTTTTATCCTGATGCTGTAACTGAATGTTCTCCCTGTCCACAAAAATGTCATTTTTTTAAAACCATGAAAAACTCTTGCCTTCATGGCATCTTGGAGCCATGCTCTGCCACTGAGGTTTGCAGTGTCTTGCATTAGGAAACTTGTCTACACCGGTTTCCTTTCTCTTACGTTTGTCTCCAAGGTTGTTAGTGTGCTACATAGAATGGTACCTTGGCACAAACGCTTCCACTGTGTGAGCTGGTCGTTCAGGGTTTCTCTCTACTTGTGTGAAGTGTGTTTTAGCCCGTTCCCAAATCTTGGCCCATAAGCATTCTGCTTTAAAAGCTTAAGCAGAGCTCTGAGAGCCCTCCTGTAATCGTTATGGACACAGCAGATGGCTGGTACCTACGCTTCTGTGCCAGGAGAGCAAGAGGAGTTGGAGCACAGTGCTGGGTGACTTGTTGAATTCAAGGTGAATGTAGAATGGGCTGCAGAGGGCCTGGCAGCCTCTACCAGTGGGGTCAGGGTGGCTCTTGTACAGGTAGGCAGTTCACCATCTGTAACGCAAAATAAACGTGTTTGTTTAGACATCTGTGCAGAGGAAACACTTGGGCATTGCATCCTCTCGCTCAGAGAGGGAGAGCAGACAGCAGATCCAAAGGGAACATGCTGCACATGAAGTTAACAAAGGGGTCTCTGCCCTGGAAATTCAGCTAGCTGCTTCCAGCGGCAGATGGGGCTTCTCATTTTGACCAGAGGGTGACAAGCTGTGCATTTGGAGCAAAATGTCTGGCATCCCTGCCATTTGCATGCTGGTCATGTCCGTGCGTGCACAAGGCATCCAGGGCTACCCTGCCAGGTAGCAGGAGGATGGGTGAGGGAGTGGTGTGTCAGTAGCCTGACCTCCCCCCCACACTGCAGAGACCCATGTTTAGCTAGCTGAACTTGGTAAGAGGGAGGTTTGGTTTTTTGGGGGTTTTTTGGCAAGGCATTCCTTAGCAGTCCCTGAAGGAGGCGTGAAACCAAGCGCATACCCTGTAAGTGTAGCTGATACGAGCAGTTCTCTGTGGCTGGTACCAGCACTTTGGCTCTGACCACCCAGCTGGATGTTGTGGCTCTTCGTGTTGCCGCCTGGCAGTAATAGCTCTGGCTCTCGAGGAGGTCCTTGCATTGGAGCACCAGGTCCCTGGTGTGTGCTATGGCAATGGCTGTGGGCGGGTGCTCTTGGTACCAGGTGTAGGTGACACGGGAGCCCGTGGCAGCATGGCACCTGATGATTGCAGGTCTTCCCAGGCACGAGTCACGAGGGCGGCCGAGGACAGTAAGCACTGGTGTAGCAGGCGGCTCTGAAACGGAACCAAATCAGTGTTCTTGTGAGACGTGAATGCAGCCTCTGCTTAGCATTAGCTCAAGCAGAGTCTCTAGGCCCCACGGTCCTGCACTGTGCCGAAGGGAGGCATCTCGGGCTGCGTGGCTGGTTGGATTTAGATGCGTTGCGTTTCTCTAAGCTCAGCAGTGGGACTGCGCTGCGTGGGGGAACTGTGCTACTACTGATCCTCCGAGCGCACAAGACCCCTGTGCCCAAGGAAGGGCAAGAAGGATCTCGGGATAGGTATGTACCAGTACTGAGCCCTGCCTTTGTCTGACTGAATGAAACTGCGATAATGGCGGGGTTACGGCTGCAGTGGCCACTGGAGGATTTAACCCCCGGGCCTATTGGCGGTGGGGGTGGGGGAGGGGTCCTTTCCTGTTCCTTCAGGCAGATCACACCCTACCTGTGCCGTTCAGAGGGTGCTACATCCTGCATCTGTGACCCACGCGGGGTAATGGTTTTCAAACCACAGGCCTTCCTGGCGGCTCTGTGCTGGACTGCAACTTGGTTCAGTCCCTGGCTCCAACACAGACTCCTCTCATGGCCTTGTGCGGGTCCCGATGGGTGGTTCCAAAGAGGATGGAGCCAGACAGAACAAGGAGCAATGGAGTCAAGTTGCAGCAAGGGAAGTTTAGGTTAGATATTAGGAAAAAACTTTCTCACCAGGAGGGTGGT